GGACATTATGCTGAGTGAAGTATCTCAGTCACAAAAGAACAAATACTGCATGGTGCCACTGTTGTAAAACAGAACTGACCTCTGGGTTGGGAGGAGACTGAGGAAGATGGGTTCAATAATGTATACTGCATTGAAACAGATGAGGGAGAAAACTGTTTAATAGGGATATGTGATTAGGTATTTTTGTCATGATGAGAGTCCAGAGTGAAGGCTGCATAGTAGAGTAGACCTGGGGGGAGGGATTGTAAAACAATGAAAGAATTTTTCTTTTACTTTTCCAAGAGGGTAGTGTATTGAGGGGGAAGGGTGAGCGAGGAGAAGAGTGCAACAATGAGTGAATGGAAATCCAAAGTCTCTGTAAATTTTCATTGAAATGAATAAATTTTAAAAAACTTAATAAAACCATATTAACAAGCCAGTAATCAACAATCTAAATTCTCAAATCAATGACGACTTCTACAAATAAATTTTTAAAATAATTTATTATTACACAGTGTTCTGCAAAATTTCTGTCCATATTTTTACATGCTTAATTGCACAGGATCTCACAAGTTCTTACAAAAGTTTTATTAATGCGACGGCACATAACAACAACAACAATGAGAAAATAAAAGACCTGCACTCTGATAGTACTGATAATAGCAGAAGCCATCAGTTTGTTAGCAATTATCAGATAGCAGCAAACACATTCATCAATGATGGACAGAGAAACAGAACAATTATATTCCCTTTTCATGACAGACATTAGTGATTGTGTTGTGATTAATTACAATATGAATTTGAAGGTATTCCAAGTCCTCCCCCCTCTTTTTAAAAGATAAATATTTAGACACTTCAGAGTGCTGAAAAGCAACAATGTCAGTTTAGAGACTAAGGTATGCCTCATTCAGGCTATGGTCTTCGCAGTTAATTGCTATGCATCAGAAAGTTGGGCAGTGACTAAGGGTGACAGAAGAATTGATGCCTTCAAATCTGTCTTGGAAAGGGTAAAACCATGTTTCTCCTTGGAGGCTAGGATTTTGAAGCTTCATATCACATACTTTGGGTGTGTGGCCAGGATGGACCAGTCTTTGGAGAAGGACGTCATGCATGGAAGGGTAGAGGATGAGATGGATTGATAGGGTAATGTGGGCAATGGAGGTTGGTGTGTCAGAATTAGTGCGATTGGCTCAGGACAAGGGCAGGTTTCAGACCTGCTGTGCATAGGGTCGTTATGGGTCGCAAGTGACTTGACAGCACCTAATAACAACAATAATAATTATAGTTATCAGTTGAACTAAACATTTATTCTAAGAAGTAATAACTGATAAAATTAGTGATTATATGCCACTGTTTTCTATATTGATTCTGTTACTGTCACTTTCTCCAGATATTAGGGAGTGCCTTACATCAAACAGTCCACTTGGTCGAGCTTGTTTATCATCTTTTTAGTTGATTAATAACCTCTAGTGTAGTATCAGATGGCAGATTAAGTATGTAATCAATTTAGATCCTGACCATCATTAATACATTATCTTGAAAGATATTGATATTGAAAGATGCTATGGGCAATATATTGAATGACCCAGAAAGCATCAGAAGAAGGTGGAGGGAATCCACAAAATCACTGTACAAAAAAAACCTGATTGACACTGAAAAATCTTACCAAGTACCATATGAGCAGGAGGCAGTGGTAATGAAGGAGGAAGTGCAAGCTGCATTGAAGGCATTGATAAAAAAAAATAAGGCCCCAGGAATCAGTAGGATACCAAATGATTTGTTTCAGTCAACAGATGCAGCCTTGGCTGTGCTCACCAGTCTGTGCCAGGAAATTTGGAAGATAGGTGTCTGGACAACGGATTGGAAGAGGTCCATATTTGTTCCCATTACCAAGAAAGGTGATCAAACTGAATGTGGAAGCTATGGAACAGTATCATTAATATCACATGCAAGCAAAATGCTGCTGAAGATACTCCAAAAAATGGCTAGAACAGTACATACATAGGGAGCTGCCAGAAGTTCAAGCAGGATTTAGATGAGGCCCATTAGGGATATCAGATGCATCCTGGCTGAAAGTATAGAATACCAGGAGAATGTAGATTTGTGCTTTATTGAGTATGCAAAGGCATTTGACTGTGTGAATCATAACAAATTGTGGCTGACATTGAAAAAAAGGAGAATCCCTCCACCCAAAGGTAATAAAGGAGGTCAGAATTGCTTCCACTGTGAAGAGCTGGGCCACTTCAGTAGACAGTGTCACAGACAAGAGCCACAGATAGGCAAGGGAGTAGAGAGGAAGCTCCCACTCACTTACTTTAAGTGTGGATCTGAAGAACACATGGCCAAGGGTGGCCCACATCAGGTTCTCATGACTGATAGGACTGACAAGCCTCAGCTCCCAGCTGGAAACAAAGGAGGACACTTCAACAATTTAGATCCTCCCAGAAGAGCTGTGGGTGAGCATTAACATTACTGGTAATGTATTTGTTTTCTCCTGGACACAAGAGCGTACTGTTTGGTCCTAAAAGCCTTCTGAGGTCCCAACTCTTCTCACTATTTCTTAGTTGTTGGAATTGACAGAAAACCTTATAAGCAGCTCCTTACTTCACCTCTCCCTTGCATGTGGACTTTTGAGCTGTAAAACAACCCAGTGGTGGATGAAATTTGGTCCAGGACTTAAGAACAATAAATGACATAGTTGAGCCTCTACATCTTGTGGTTCCTAACCTTTATACTATAATAGACAGAGTGCTAGTCAATAAGCCTTTTTATTGTAAGAACTACCTTCCCTCTGTAACTTGATTTGTGTCACTGTTAGAACCTCTACTTGGAATATTATTGCTTTTAATTTTTGACTCATGTACTTTTAACTTGTTAGTTAAATTTGTGTCTTCTAGGCTGCAACAGTTCCATGATGCGTCTTCAAGGATATGAACATGTATGGCTAAGCACAATTGATAATAGTGCCTCTAAATTCCAAAATCAATCTCCACAATAGTCTACGTGTTTCCTATTGCCAAAGGGGCCCTTTAGAGTAGTGAGAGAAGATCTTCACCCTGAAACCTACAGCCTCCCTTTTCAGCAGGAAGTAGCTAAGAGAATATGCCATCCCCTTTTCCTTATGAATCAGGGTGAAGTCTCTCTCAGAGAGGAGTGATAGGGAATGGCAAAGGATACACTGACAAAGGAGATTAATCAGATCTGGCTTTGACAAGGACTGTGGCAATGGGACAATTAAAACAGACTTTCAAGGGGTAAAAAAAAAGAGGAACAAACAGGGGGGGGTAGAGCAAATAGTGCAACAATGAATGAATGGAAATCCAAATCTCTGTAAATGTTCATTAAAATTAATAAAATTTAATAAAAATTTTTAAAAAAAGGAAAATCCCAGAGCACTTAATTTTGCTCATATGAAACCTGTACTTGGACCAGGAGGCTGCTGTGGGAACAGAGCAGAAAACACTACATGGTTTACAATTAAGAAGGGAGTGCTCAAGGGTTGTATTCTGTCTCCATACCTATTCAGTCTGAATGCTGAGCAAATTATTCAAGAAGCTGGACTCTGTGAAGGGGAATGGAGCATCAGATTGGCGGGAAACTCATCAATAACCTGTGTTACGCAGATGACACATCCTTGCTTGCTGAAAATGAGGAAGACTTGAAGCACTTGTTATAAAAGATCAAGTAATTCCTTCTTCAATATGGATTGCATTTCATTGTCAAGAAAGCAAAGTTTCTTACCACTGGACTGAAAGGAAGCATGGTGGATGGAGAAGAAATTGAAACTATCAATAACTTCATCTTACTTGGATCTAGAACTAACACCCTTGGTACCAGCAGTCAGGAAATAAGGAGATGCAATATGCACTGAGGAAGTCTGCATTTAGAGACCTCTCCAAATTATTGAGAAGTAATGATAACAGTTTTAGGAGCTAAGGTGCATCTGATTGAGGCCATGTTCTTTCCAATCAGTTGTTATGTATCTGAGAGCTGGGCAGTAAATAGGGATGGCAGAAGAAGAATTGATTTCTTTGAGCTATAGTATTGGCTAAGAGTGCTGAACATCCCATGGATGGCCAAAAGAACAAACAACTATGTCTTGGAGAGAGTGTGCACCTGGAATGCTCCTTGGAGGCATGGATGATGAGGCTTCCCCTCATGTACTTTGGGCATGTTGCTAGGAGGGGGCTATTAGAGAGAGCCATGATGCTTGGAAGAGTGGAGGGTCAGCAAAAGAGAGGAAGACCCCCGGCAAGGTAGATTGACATGGTAACTCACTGGACTCTAGTGTATCAACAAGTGTGAAGATGGCACAGGATAGAACAGGGTTCAGATCTATTGTTCATAGGGCCACTCTCTTGACTTGACTGCACATAAAAACAGTGTATTTGAGAGGGCAGATTGAGTTTAATTCTGAGTGTAACTGTTTCAAATGTTTTGTTTTTATTTATTTATTTTTAATTTGGGATACCGTCTAATTGGATCCGATTGGCACAGGAGGAGTTTGCCCCTCCTTCAGTGAAGCATCTGGTGGATTCAGACCACACACCTTTAGAATTGCGGTGCAGCTTCTTGCTACTAGGCCACCAGAGCCCTCAGATATTATGACTGTATTTTTACTCTTCTGAATGTTCTAACTGATCATTGACAGAGACTAAGCATTTTTTTTAAAAGCAAGATAAAGTTTTTAAAACTTGCACTGGCCTGTGTGTGTTTATTACAATGACAGCATGTTTTTTCTAATCATGATTCTTTTAAATTTTTTATGAATATGTGTCTGTATTATTTAACTTTAATTATTTTCTCATTTTTCTAGTAAGTATATGTTTTGCTTACTTAAAATTAAGAAATTTTACATTTTATAAGTGTAAAGAGAACTGTAAATTTACCAAGGGCACAGCCAATAATTTTTTATTTATTAAAAATTTATTTATTTATTTATATTTATATTTTTTTAATTTATGTTTCTTATACATAAAATAGAAAGTATTGTAAATTTTTATTTACCATTTTGGTTTTAGGTCAAGGAACTGAATCATTATCTGGAAGCTGAGAAATCTTGCAGGACTGACTTAGAGATGTATGTGGCTGTACTGAACACTCAGAAATCTGTTCTACAGGAAGATGCTGAGAAACTGCGCAAAGAGTTGCATGAAGGTAAATTTATAAATAATCTCAGTCTGTAAGAGCACTTTGTAAGTAGAATTGATTAGTAACATTCACACATCTTAAAATACTATTGAATGAGTCAAATTTAAGCTTTATAGTTGTTTGATAGTTTCATGAAAAGCTAAAGTTGTGCATATTGCTAAACATAACTTGAATTGTTAATGGTTTTCTTCTAGGACCTCAGTAATAACTTCTCAAGGCATGAGCTCTGGTCAGAAAGATAGTGGGGCTGGACTTTGCTTAAACTGCTTTTGCCCTTCCTTGTTTTGATGACTGTGTCTAAGGAGGAGAAAATGGTCCATGGATTCACAGGACCTTAAGCATCTCTCTAAAAGGGACAGAGGGAGTAAGAATAGCACAGCCCCTCACTGCCCCAGAATAGAAAGCAGACAAAGAGCCCGTAGCCCAGCTCCATGGTGCTTCTAGAGCCACACCAACAGCAAGAGGTTCGTTGATTTGTTGTTGAATCACAGACTCACAGTTGTGGTACTAACAATGGAGTTTATTAGGAAAGTGAGTTGGGGAGGCAAAGAGTATCTCACAATAAAAATCCAGGCTTTAGCCCAGCAGTTCTAAGGCAAAATTCCTCAGTAAGTCCAGGCTCTGATTTCTGTAGTGACCAGGCCATGAATATTATAATATTGTGACTTGTTGCTGTTAGTGAAAATAAAGGTGTAACCTTCCTTATCTGAATATGTGAACTCCTTGAAATCTTACACTGTTGTAAGTTACACTGATAATCCATTTCAACATGCAGGATCAATTCTGTGGTGATAGAGATCTGCAGTGAATGCTTTCAAATACATAAAATATTGTGGAAAAATAGAGCTAGTACATCAGTAATTTAGGTTTTCATAGGAGTTAATTTTTCCCAAATGCAGGAAACTACAAATTCAGGAAAGCTGAAATTACAAGCATGCAGAAGAATTTCATAACCTTATGAAAGTAGTTCAAACTTTGAGTGGATCTTTGACCTTTAGGAAACAATTTTTAGTTATGCTATTGCAACAAAAAGATAACTTAGCAAACAACAAATGCTGGTAAGGTTGTGGAGAAACTAGAACTCTTATTCATTGTTGGTGGGAGTGTAAAATAGTGCAACCACTATGGAAGTCAGTATGGCGCTTTCTAAAAAAGTTGGAAACAGAAATACCATCTGACCCACCAGTTCCATTACTGGAAATGTACCCTAAAGAAACCAGAACTGCCATCCAAACAGATGTGTGCACACCCATGTTTATTGTTGCTTTGTTCACAATAGCAAAGAGTTGGAAACAACCCAAGTGCCCATCAACAATCAAGTGGATAGAGAAGCTGGGGTATATTCACACAATGGAATACTATGCAGCATTGAAAAACAACTCATGAAATATTATACAGAATGGGTGATCCTGGAGGACATTATTCGGAGTGAAATATCTCAGTCACAGAAAGACAAATACTGTATAATACCACTGTTGTAAAACAGGACTGACAGGGGGCTTGGGGAGAAACTAAGAAAAGGGGATAAATAAAATACATGGCATTGAAACAGATGGGAGGGAACTGTATAAAAAGAATATATGATTAAGTATTATTGGGATGACAAGAGTCCTGAATAAGAGCTGCATAGTAAAGTCAGGCGGGGAAGGGGTGGGGGGGGCTCAGGGGACACTGTATAACAATGAAAGAACTTTTTTCCAAAGAAAAAAGCAAATTGGGGGAGAGGGAAGGCAGGGAGAAAATGTGCAACAATGAGTGAATGGAAATCAAAGTTCTTTATAAACATACAATAAAATTAAAAAAGAAACATCAGAAACTTTGGGTAAGAAATAAAAAGAGCTAATTGTATCAGGGGCTGGAGGTAAAACTGTTAGGACCCTTAGGCATTTATTTTAATTCTAAAGTGTAGCTACCACTAAGAGATCCTCTTTTTGAAACAAAATCTCAACCATAGACTGTCTTCTGCATTCATTGAAATTATTTAGTAAATGGTAGGTTTTACTTTATCATTTAAGAGTTGTCTAAAACAAAAAAAAAATACCTTAGTGATACCCAGAAAAAAGAGAAACAATCTTTTTTTTAAAAAAACTATGTGTTTCAACTCTGTTGAAAGTCATTGAGGCTGCCAACCAGAATATACCTGAAAAAGTATCAAGAAGAAATTAAAATGAGGAAGAAGGATAGTTTCCATACTGAAACACAGCAAAAAAGAAATAAAAATAAGACTTAAAAATTAAACAGTAGTGTAATTTTTAGCTTAACTTTTGAAAGTTAGAAATGCAACTAGGTTGGTGAAATGGCTTATTATAGATAGTGCTTAGAAGTATGTTAGGATGCAGAAGTGTAATAAATGATGAGTGGTTAATTCTTTTATCCTAGGAACAGATAAGTCTTCTTAAAATAATTTATTCTTAAGTGTTTGAAAGGTGCCAGATAATAAAAAAATGACTGTAGTTTTCACAGCCTGTATTGTGGCTTAGAAAAGTCACAACTATTAAAAAATTGTCAGTATTACTAGGATACAGGGATCTGTGGGACAAATGTGAGACTGGAGAAGTCACTATGGTCTCAATTGTAGAGACAACTCTGCTAAAGAATTTGGACTTTCTCATGTGTCATATGGACAGCACAAAACTTCTGAAAATTTTCTTTGCTTAAGTAGCTGCTATATTGTATAATTCACATGACATAAAGTTCACGTTTTTAAAGTGTACAATTAATAGATTTTAGTTTACATAAGACGTTGTGTACCATCACCACTAATCTCATAACATTTGTCATTACCTTCTGAAGAAGCTCTATACCCATTAGAATATTACATATTTTCTTCTTCTCTAAACTAATCTACTTTATCGATTTTACCTATTGAGGACATTTTACATACATGGGATCATATAGCTTGTGTCTGGCTTCTTGTACTAATTTTAAACTGGAGAGTGGTAAAAGTTCATTTTCGCGTTTTAGAAGGATCAATTTGACAGCTCTATGGAGGATAAAATAGAGTGTAAGTCTGATTGTAGGAAGAACAAAAAAAGGACCACAGTTCTGGTTATCTAAATTATACGAACTGACTAAGGCAGAAGGCAGGGGATGGATGGGTGAAATTGCAAAGGAAGTAGTAGCATCAGTTGATCCATGCTGTCCTTGAATGTATTGGGTAAGGAAAGGTCAGAAGTACCATTTATGTCTTGGGTTTTTTTACTTAGGTGGCTGGGTACATTGGCTGAACAGATGATAACGGCCAATTTTTTAAGTAGCTTATGATTGAGCTGACAAATATTAACTATAAACATTTTGCAAAGATTCTTTGACTTCTCCTGAAAGTTTGAATCTAAATAAAGTCAATGATTGCTGCGTGATAGATTTTTCAGAATGTACTCAAGGCACTTAGGAGGGGCTATTGTGTCTTTGGTCTTTAGGGCAGTATTTCCTTGAACACTTCTGTGAGTGGCACTTTAGAAATGAGGGAAACATTGGAGAGGTTTAGTCAAACAGATTTTGAGAAATAATGTATATCATACCTCTACCTCTAGCATAGCACAGTGGATTGGTGCTTGACTGCTAATCTAAAGATCAGCAGTTCCAACCTACCAGCTGCTTCTCCAGAGATAGATGTGGCATATCTGAGGGGACAGTTCTACTCTGCAGCGTTACTGTGAGTTGAGATTGATTAGATGACAGGTTTGTTTTCTCTACCTCCAAGAGAATATAGGTATATAAAACCTTGCAGCATTTAAAAAAAAAGTATTCAACCCAGGATTTAGAAAATTTGCAGAGCACTGAAATCTTCATTTCACATTTTCCTTGGAGCATACTTTGGAAGACTCTGCTTTAGAGTAATGGTGTGAGGATAATTGCTGTGTACCTACAGATCGTCCTTTGGTGCCAGAGACAAACACCTAAGCAGATTTGATCATTGACCTTAATAGCCCTAAAATTGTTCACTGTTAAAGAAATTGCCTACCATTAAAATTCAGTGTTTTTGATTGGGGGGGGGGCATTTCTAAACAGTTTGCCACCTCTTGGAACAAGAACGACAACAGCACAACCAGTTAAAACACACGTGGCAGAAGGCCAATGACCAGTTTTTGGAATCTCAGCGTTTGCTGATGAGGGACATGCAGCGAATGGAAATTGTGCTAACTTCAGAACAGCTCCGACAAGTTGAAGAGATGAAGAAAAAAGATCAGGTGAATGACAGTTTTGTAAGACGTTCTTAATTCACTACTAGTGTCACCCCCCCCCCCACTGCCATGATTGCATGACTTTGTGATTAATTTAGTTGGAAAAAGTTGATATGCATCATTTAAAAAAACAAAAACACAATAGTGGAATTGAAGGGATTTTTTTTTCCATTTTAGAAACGGCCTTGTTTGGGGCAGAGGGTAAGGGGGCACTAATTTAGAAATTCTTTTCTGAGACTGCCTGTTTCTGAGAAACTTGTTCTCCACAGTACTATCCTCTTCAACTAGGATTCCTGAGTTGCTTAAATCTAGACCCAGTTATTTGGGGCATACATCTTATTCTGAAAGCCTTATCAGAAGGTGACAAGATGGGGATGGAGAGGCTGAGTAATATGAGAAGGCAGATTTCAAGAGTGCTGCATACTCAGTGTCCTCTTACTTCTTATCTTTTTTTGAAATTCTTTTTTTTTTGTTACATAATTAGTATGCAAATAGGTCTGGTTTTTTTTCTCTTCAAGTTTTAAATGTAGATGAAGTGAATATTCTTTTATATAGTTTGTATCATGCTATACGGAACCCTGGTGGCCAAGTAGTAAGAAGGTGTGCTGCAAGCCCAGAGACTTTGGGTTCAGTTGCACCAGTAAGTATTAAGGGAGCACTGGTGGCCTAGTAGCAAGAAGTTGCGCTGCAGGCTTCGAGGTGTGCAATTCAAATCCACCAACTGCTCTGCAGGACAAGGATGAGCAGTCTCCTTCCGTACAATTAACTGCCTCTGAAAACCTGATGGAAGGTCAGCTGTGGGTTGGTTCCGACTCTACAGTATACAGCATCAACATTAAATATTAATGCTGTTGTTTTTGTTTTTTTTAAAATTTTATTATTGTGTGTGTGTGTGTGTGTGTGTGTGTGTGTGTACACACCATCAAATTGGATCTGACTGGTACAGGAGGAGATTGCCCCTCCTCCAACAGAGCATCTGGTGGATTCGAACCGCTAAATATGAATACTTTTGTTTATTTTTCCCCATAAGTGTTGTTTTGAATATATTTTCACACAAAGTTGGTTAATTCTTATAACCTACATTTCTGTTCTTGAGGCTCAGTGTGTGTGGTCATGGTTAGTTGCCACTGAGTAACCTATAGCTCTTGAACAAGAAATCTGAACCTTACCCTTTACAGCTCCATCTTCCCAATCTCTGATTTACTTGAGTCCATTGTTACGTCCATCTTGTTGGGATTATCTCTCTTTCTCTGACCCTCTGCCTTCCCAGTATTAGGTATTTTTCCAAGGATTAACTCCTCCTAACATCGTACTCAAAGTATGTGAGACAAAAATCCACCACCCTTTCCTTTTAAGGAGAACCTTGGTTGCACCTCCTCCAAGACAGACCTGTTTGCTCTTTTGGCATTCCAAGGGCTATTTAGAGTCAGGAGTACAGAATTATTTTATAAATTGGGAAACCATCTAAGAGAACTAATGGCAGATCTGAGTTGAATATGTATGTGTATGTCTGATTCGACTGTAAACTCTTCCCAGGTACCTCATTTATCTTGTTTCTGCCCCTTCTCAGTCACATCGGGTTGCTCAGTATTCTCCCATGTGCTTGCTCTTCCATAATCTTTTTTTTTTTGTTGTTTTTACCAGTGCTACCTTTCTCTTTATAAAATCTCCTTGCCTATTTCCTCTCGCACACAATTCTTCCTTCTAATCTTTAAAGATCCCACTAAGCGTTATCTCCTTTAGGCCTCTTTTCTTAGCTTCCTCTGATGAATCATTGGGTTTTATTTTAATTTTCCCTGCCTTCTATAAAACTCATGTATATACTTTTTATTTCCATGTATACACTTTTATGGTGTTGTAATGGTGTATCTCTCCTCACTGGACTATTTAGGTAACTTTCTTTGAAGGAATTTAATTCATCTTGAGTGAATTACTACATCAACTTTTTTGTTATTCTGTACCATAGAGTTGGAACTGACCCATAACTGACCCTCTGGCAGGTCTTCAGAGGCAATTAATCACGCAGGATGAGATTACCTGTCCTCCTGTGGGGCAGCTGGTAGCCTCAAACCATGTGCTTTAGGGATTACAGAGCTCCCTGCATCAATTTAAGTCATTCCTTTTATATTTCATATACATTTGTCTATGTTTCTAATGGATATGTAACATCAGTAACTTTATTTTCTACAATAATCAGAAGGGATGGTCTATGTAAACTTTTTTCTTGGATTATTTGAAGAAAGATGGGATTTTGCTTTCTTTTCTTTAAACTTACTTTAAATAGTATACTTTTCTTAGAACTGCATACTTTTTGTACCAAGGTGCATCTTCTTCCTAGGGTTTTAAAATATTTTTATCATGACTAGAGAACCCTGCTGTTGTGTACCATCGAGTTGGGACCTATGCATTGACCCTCTAGAGGGTTTTCAGAGGTAATAAATTGCACGGGAGAATATTGCCCATCTTTCTCTCATGGAACAGCAGGTGGAGTCAAACTGTGTACCTTTGTATTGGCAGTGTGTTTCCTTACCACCAAGCCATCAGAGCTCCCTTAGATGTGATTATAAAATAAGCAAGTGTTCAACCCTCTTTTATCATAAAGTTCTGTTTTTTCTTATTTGTTTTGTGTTGCTGAGGACTGTATAACTCTTAAGTACAGAATACTTGAGTAATATGTTTTTTCCCAATAACTTTTAGGAGGAAGATGAACAACAAAGACTTAATAAGAGAAAGGATCATAAAAAAACAGATATTGAGGAAGAAGTAAAAATACCAGTAGTATGTGCTTTAACTCAGGAAGAACCTTCAACCCAGTTATCAAATGAAGAGGTATAGTGAAACTCTAACTAAAATTAATATATACAGGTGTCATTTTTTTTGTTACCTCCATAATCAGTAATACTTCTCATACTTCATAAGAGAAGTTCATAACTACTAGTTTAACATTAGATAAACAGTGTTTTCACATCTTGTTTTTAAGGCATTACATGTAGCATTTTGTGGTCTCTGTCACTGTCTCTAAAATAATACATTCTTTTTCAGTGGTTCCAAAATTAAGGCATTAAAAATGTTTTTTTAAATAACATCTGTAAAGTATTTCTTTATATGAAAAAAGTTAATAAATAAGCTTTTTAATAAAGATATTTTCTAAAATATTTAACTTCCTGTAGCATAAAAGGGAGTTCTGTTGGTCTACTGGCAAGAAGCTGTATTGCAATTCCAAAGGCATGCGGTTTGAATCCACCAGCTGCTCTGCAAGAGAAGGATGAACAATCTCCTTCTGTGTGATTACTGCCTCTGAAAACCCACTGGCAGGTGTAGCTGTGGATTAGTTCTGACTTCACAGTATGCAGCAACAACATGGCATATAAATTTATATTAACTAGTTTTTAGCTTTGAGTGTAGTGAGTAAAGTTTGGTAAATTGTGATGGAATAAGATAGAGCATTTTTAAGTATTGAGACAAGAGCCTCAGGTAAAAAGTATAGGTAGTATTCCTGTGATGTCACCATCTTTCATTCATGGGATAACAAGAGCCTATGAATCATGTTTCTTGTCTTCAGCTTATCTTAGCACAGGACCTTCTTAGCATTACTGTCCTATTTCTTTTTCTTGAGTACAGCCACAGGCCACTTCTCTACTTAAAATCTGCCTGCCATTTACGATTTACACAATTAAGCACCAATTCCTCACTTATAAATAGAAACGCAAGCTAAACTCATTGCTGCTGAGTCAGAACCCACTCCTACCCCAACCACCATTGGGCTTCTGAAGTGGTAAATTGCATGGAAGAGATTGCCCATCTTTTTCTGTCAGAGCTGCTGACAGAGAACTGCAGCCTTTGGGTTGGCAGCACAACTCCCTATGGACTGTGCCACCAGAGAGCTCTTCATAATAAGAACTCTGTTTTAGACATAAGCTGTCTTATGTTGCAGTCTCTACCTGCCTTGTTAATGGTTTTATTTGTTTCTGAATAAGGTGAATAAAGGTCCATTGCTTGGCATACAAAAGCCTTCATACTTGAACGACTCTTCCAGTTTTACCTTCCGTCCCCTCTTCACTTCAGCCATATGTTTACTGTCTGTCCTTATGTGCCTTGTTTATACTTGTTGAACCTGCTGTTTGGAATTTTTACTTCTTTCTCCCAGCCCCCTCCTTTCCTGGCCAGGTAAAGCAGTTTCAGTTATATTGGATAAAATCTTTTCTTCACTTTTAAAAATACCCTATTTTTGTTTAGTTTGCAGATTTCCTCTTGTTGTCTGCATCACATAGTGACCCTGTGTACAGCAGCTCTGAAGCCTGCCTTGTCCTGAGCCAGTTTCCCTGACTTGGACACACCTAATCCCATTGCCCCTGTTACTGTGTCAGTCCGTCTCATCTGGGGTCTTCCTATACTATGTTATCCCTCCACCCTTCCAAGTGTGATACCCTTCCCCAAGGAACAGTCCCTCTTGGCCCAAAGTGGTGAATTGCACAGAAAGAGATTTGTCCTTTTTTTTTTTAAATTCTTTAGCCAGTATATAATTTACTTTCTGTGTATGAATTGCTTCACTTGTTGTGGGTTTTTTTTAATCCTGTGAGACATTGAGAAGTATGATGTAGTTGTTTTTCCACATTCTTTGTTTTGGCTCAAACGTTGGGGACCACTTCCCCTGGTTCTGCCAATAGTTTCAATAGTTAGACTCCTAAGAGAATGTCTCCCTTTTTGAGTACAGCCAAGTATTATGTGATTTTTTTTTTTACATCATGCAATAATGCATCCAGGAATGTTCGAAAAACATCCTTGTGGTACTGTATCCAAGAATGTTTGAAAAGTACTATTTAAGCAGGAAAGTGGGAAAGGGAGAATTGTTGTGCCTTCAATGAAGTTTTTTCCTTCTTTTTTTATCCCATCTTAGCAGATTTCTAAGATATGTATAACATTATCTGACATTTAATGTTCTCTTTTTCACTTTCAGATATACTTGCAGTTTGAATGTTGATTATAGCTGTTAGGTGCTTGAGATTCATAATAACTTAGTTTAGCCTTCAGAAGTGGATTTTGAGTACTTTGGAGAGGGAGAGTTACTCTGATTTCCTGCTAGAGACATCTAAAACTTGTAGGACTGCATAATTTCCTGAATCTGGTGTTTACAAAAGTAATCGGTTTTCATTGTGGATATTTCATAGAGATGGAATCATACAGTATGCAACTTTTTTTTTATCTTTTACTTTGTTCTACATTTAATGTGTTAAGTACCCCTTACCTGAAACTTGATTTTCAGAATACCACCTTCTGCTTATTTTCTGTGTGCTACTCTCGTTACTCCTGCTTGTCCCATAAATGTTGTTTCTTGGGATACTACCCTTGACCCTCTTCTCATTCACTATTTTTTTGTTGATTTTTCTATAGTGTGTTTCATGTATATTTATTATGTTTCACACATTCCACTATTCATATTGTGTTTCATGCTATCATTCGCATACATTGTGTTTTATAAAATTAACCACCAAGGGGAGCTCTGGTGGCCTAGTGGCAAGGAGCTGCAACTACAATCCCAGAGGCGCACGGTTCAAATCCACCAGATGCTCTGCCGGGAAAGGAGGGACAATCTCCTCCTGTACCAGTCAGATCTGATTTGATGGTACGCTCACACAAAAATTAAAAAAAAATAAAATTAACCACTATTGATCCATGCCCACCAGTGCCCCACCTTTTCAGGACCCAACTGAATCTTTTTTAATTCCTTCAACCCCCTCATTCTGCCCACATAGCTCTGTGACCTCAAGATTTCCTTACCTGACCCTCAGCTGTCCTTCTTCCTCCCCGTCCCCCTTTGGACTTTTGTATATATCTATTTTTACTTCTATTTTTACAAAACTTGTCTTATGCTGTAATGGTCTTTGTCCTTATGAGACTGGGTTAGTTCACTCAGCATCATGCTCTCCCCATCTCCCACATTATATAGCTTTTTATTCACTGCTTTGGCTTTTGTTTTAGTTAATGTCATATGATAGTTATTTTCTAGAATCTGTATAAAGACTTTCATATCCTTTTATCTGGTGGATATCTCCACTTCAATGTAAAACAAACACCTCAAATTAAGCATTTCTTGACACTAAATTTCCAGAGATCTTCCTTAATTTTTCAAGTCTTGGCTAAATTTCTCTCCCTGTGTGCTCTGAACAGTTATTACATAGCTATAGTCTAATTTTACTACTTAATATATTATATTACTCTGCTTACTTTTTCTTTTCATGAAACTTTAAGTAGTTTGAGGTCAGAGATTATATCCTACAGTTATCTTCAGTTGCCTGGCTTAGTGCCCGTAAGGAAGACACTCAGTAAATGTTTAATGAATGCATGAAGGTAGCACATTAATGATTGTTGTGTCTAATAAGTGACAAAATACATTTAATGTATGATAAATTTTTCTGTTTAGAAATACAGAGAATTGATTAACTCAGCAATATATGTTTTCCCCATTTCAGGAACATTTAGACAGTACTCATGGTTCAGTCCACTCCTTAGATGCAGACTTACTATTGCCGTCTGGAGACTCATTCAGTAAATCAGACAATGACATGTTTAAAGATGGACTTAGGAGAGCACAGTCTACAGACAGCTTGGGGACCTCGGGCTCATTGCAATCCAAAGCTTTAGGCTATAACTACAAAGCAAAATCTGCCGGGAACCTAGACGAATCCGATTTTGGACCATTGGTAGGAGCGGATTCCGTGTCTGAGAACTTTGATACTGCTTCCCTTGGATCTCTACAAATGCCAAGTGGGTTTATGTTAACCAAAGATCAGGAAAGAGCGATCAAAGCGATGACACCAGAACAAGAAGAGACAGCCTCGCTCCTCTCCAGTGTCACCCAGGGTACAGAAAATGCTTACGTGTCTCCCAGCGGTTACCGTTTGGTCAGTGAGACGGAATGGAATCTCCTGCAGAAAGAGGTCAGTTAGCCCTCTGACTTTTTCCTCTTGCTCCTCTGACAGGATTTGGATCACTCTTGAATCATTCAGTAGATAGTCCCAAGTTTCAAGGAAAATAATGGCATTGCCAATAAGTGGATGTGTTTGCCTGGATCATTTAACCTTTGTCATAGTCTGCTTTTCTCATTTCAAGTGATTATGACAGAGAGGGAACTGCCTAGAAATTGCTTTGAGTGTTAACTTTTTCAACTCAAGTCATAACTCTTAAAGTTCAGTAACACAGATAACCCTTTTTTAAAAAGCACTCATTGGACCTTTTTGTTAGTGACCCACTGAGACGTCAAGAAAGGGCAGAAATAAATAAAAGCACTACTTTTGGGTGTTGTTTTGTTTCAGTTGGTGATAAGACAAAATATAAAAATGAATAACGCTGCTGAGTTAGAATAGTCTTGATTTAATTTACTTTCTGTTTCTCTGTAATATGAATGTATTTATAGTCTTTCATCAGACTCTAGATTTAAAGTGCAGATGTCCTGTCAGCTGTTGATAAAAAGAATGCATTTAAAGAGATTATGCAGACATGAGAAAGAAAGGAAGGCAGTCTTTAATTTTCTTCCTCAGAAGTATTTGCAAATTCAGAAATAAGATTAGGAAATACAGATTTAAATGACTATTTACATACTGCTTTATGAATTATAGACCCTATTTGCACATACTTCATCACTTCATGCTTCATGGTAACAGTGATGTAGTCAGGACATGATTGGCCCCATTTACAAAAGAAGAAATGTGTTCAGAATGGCCAAGTGAGTTGCACATGTTTCCCCCTTGGCTTAGTAGCACAAGGGTTAGAATTCTGGGTTAGAATCCAGGTTTTTCAGCTATCTAGTGCTTTCTTTTACTCAGAGTTACTTTTCTTTAAAGAAGCTTTTGCTCAAAAAGTGGAATAGTTTATTAAATCTGAAACGGTTTTTTGTCTCATGCAAAAAATATGTGAGAAAGTGTTATATAGTAATCTAATATCTGTTTTGAAATTAGAACTGGAGAAATGGTAACTTGACACAGTAATGTCTTTCTTGGCTTTGTCATATTGATTTAAATTGTGAGCACCTTGGTATGGTTCCTGGGCTTGCTTTCTGCTTTTCTCTTAATATGCCATGTTTAGTATCTCTTAGAGATAAAGTTGGGTTCTTTGCTTTCCTATATTAGATATTGTAAATTTTTAGACTCTGAGCCTGTATTGTAATTTCTTATCCTAAGACCCTGAAGAAATTGTTTACTTTTGTTCTGCCTTAAGTAACATAGATAAGGCCATTCATGTGTAACTCAACTATGTGATACAAACTTACTTTGTTCTGCCTGATAAAAAGTAACTTTGGTGTTTTTCAGGTACATAATGCTGGAAACAAACTTGGTAGACGTTGTGATATGTGTTCCAATTATGAGAAACAGTTACAAGGAATTCAGATTCAGGAGGCTGAAACAAGAGACCAGGTGAGTATCCTTTGGATATGCCAGATTGATGAGTTGTGACTTTCACCAGAGGTACATAAGTAATTTTCCCCCATTTGCTGTATGAAGCATATCCTTGTTCAGTTATGAGCTGATCTGGTACATGCAGTGGCAGTTATATTTACACTGAGTGCTTACTGTAAAATCTGCTTTTGTGTGTCTGCTTTATTAGTGCCTTAATGTGGATTCTTCAGCAAAGCCAGTGAATGAATATACATAGAGGTAGATAGAGAGAGAGAGAGAGGCTGTCAAGTTCCAGGTCTGTGGCATGTAGCTATAGAAGCCAATAAATCCAAGGTTGCCAGACTACTGGGTCAAATCTAAAGGACCAAAATGATTTTGAGACAGATGCAGAATCAAGATTGAAAAAAAAGCTGGCATCCATATCCACTAGACTTTATATATACAGGGTGCAGACGACTCCACCAGTGAAACTCCCTCTTTTCCTATTTGTTGTTCATAGTAAATCCCATTAAAAGAATGATACACTTGTATCAGGCCTCATCAAAGAATTGACTAGATCACAGCTGCCACACTAAAAAATCATAGCAGCCAGTTGATGTACAATCTTAATATGACAGTTAACTTGGATAATAATAAAGCCAAATTGTAGCTATCTTCCAATGAGTTTCATACACTGTAAATTGCACTATTTTCCTCTCCCGTGCAAACTGCCTGTTTTCTTCCCATGGAGCTGTTGGTGGACTTGAACAGCCACAGAGGCACTGCCTTTGGGTTAGCAGTGCAGCTTCCCATGGACTGTGCCATCACAGCTTCTATACTTAGCTGTTTGTGGGAGAAAGATGGACAGTCTCCTCCAGTGTGACTCATGCCTCTGAAAACTCATGCCTGCTGGAGGTTTGATTACAACTTGATCATATATAACAACATCAGCTTAGCTATTAACATAATGACTTCCAGCAGACATAGTTTGGTACATTGGGGCCTGGACAGCTTCCCTCCCTTGCTTCTCCCTTTTCTCAGAGCCTAAAACTGGTACTATTATGAGCTTGGGCTCATAGAAAATATTTTAAGATAAGGAATTGTTGTTGTTGTTGTTATGTGCCGTCGAGTCGCCTGCGACTCATAGCAACCCTATGTACAACAGCCCTAAACTCCGCTTTGTCCTGTGCCAATCGCACTGTCTCTGACACTCCCATCCCAATTATCCCAGTCACTGAATCAATCCACCTCATAGAGGGCCTTCCTCTCCTAGAGAAATAAAATATTGACGCTTGCCTCTAATGGAGTAAAAGCTTAATTGAAAGTTATATTAGTTTGGTTTTGGAATAGATATTGCTTAATTGCTATTTGTCATAAATGTTAATTCATTAACATTTATTTAAGCTTTGATAGAGTTGGTATAAGAGTGGGGAGCTCTGGTAGCAGTTTATAGGAGTTGCATTGCTACCCAAATACTCTCTCTTTTTGGTGGTTTGAATCCACCAGTCCTCAAGAGAAAGATGGATGCACACCCATGTTTATCGTGGCTTTGTTCACAATAGCAAGGAGTTGGAAACAATCTTAAGTGCCCATCAACAAACGAATGGATATAGAAGCTGTGGTATATACAGTGGAATACTATGCTGCATTGAAAAATAAGGATCTCATGTAGTATTTTTCAAAATGGGTGACCCTGCAGGACATTATGCAGAGTGAAGTATCTTGGTCACAAAAGGACAAATATAGCGTGGTGCCACTGTTGTAAAACAGGACTGACCTCGGGGTTGGGGAGAGACTGAGAAAGATGGGTTCAGAAATGTATACTGCATTGAAACAGATGAGGGAGAAAACTGTTTAAAAGGGATATGTGATTAGGTATTTTTGTCATGACAGGAGTCCAGAGCGAAGGCTGCACAGTCGAGTGGACCTTGGGGGGGAAAGGATTGAAAGAATTTTTTTTTTACTTTTCCAAGAGGGTAGTATACTAGGGGGGAGGGTTGGAAAGGGAGAAAAGTGTAACAATGACTGAATGAATGAATGAATGAATGGAAATCCAAAGTCTCTGTAAATTTTCATTCACATTAATAATAAATTTTTTTAAAAAAAGAGAGAGAAAGATGGATAGTCTCCTCCCATGCAATTTACAGCCTCCAAAATTCTGCTTCAGGGTCAGTTATGATTCCGGGTTCAGTTCTGACTCCGCAGCAATGACTCCAATTTTTTTTTAAATAATAGTTGTTGTTAGGTGCTGTTGAGTCGAGAACCACTCATAGCAAAATTATGTACAACAGATCTGAACCCTCTCCTCACAATTTCTAACACACTCAAGGCTTAAGAAACTAGGTATGAAGAAAATGAAAAAGAAAAAAATGTCTTTCCTTGTTATAAAGATAATTATTCTCTTTGTTTCAAGAAAAGTGAAGATATCTAAAGGAACAAAGTTACAGAGGAACATTATGTGTTATAGGAACTGGGGGTTGTTCATATGACTGTGTATAGGAGGTGTGAGTTACAAAACAGTGGAAGAGGACACTGCACAGAAAGTCTATGCTGCGATCTGAGGAAGGAATAATGATGGAAAAGATTTACATATTATACTGGATATTTGGGGATTATAAGTATTATAATACATGATTTGTATTTTGAGAAAATTTTATTTTGTTAATATGGATTGTAGATGGAAAATTAGTATCACAGTGCCCAAATTTAGAGAACCCCAAAAGGAGAAGCAGATATTTTCAGATGAAATACTGTATGGAGAAAAAAACTTGTTTTTTTATAAAGCAGAAAACAGTAATCCCATGAGACTGTTCATCTCATTTCTTTATGAACTGACAAATCTAGAGTATTAATTAGAATAAAAAGGATAGGTTCTTAAAAAATTTTGCATTTGTAATTCATAGAATTGCAATTCTTTGAATTTAATTTTTTTATAGGTGAAAAAACTACAGGTGATGTTAAGACAAGCTAATGATCAGTTAGAGAAAACAATGAAAGATAAACAGGAGCTGGAAGACTTCATAAAGCAGAGCACTGAAGAGTCAAGTCATCAAGTAAGTGAAAGTCTTTAGAATGTAGACCACGATGACTAGATCATGATATTTCTTTATTGCCTGAAAGATCTGATTGTTAGTATTTCCCTGACTGAGATTAACAGATCTCATATTGTTCATTCTCTGTTAATTTATTTTAAATACTTGATTTTGAATTAACTAGAGATCTCTGGTGGCCTAGTGGATAGGAAGTTGTGCTGCCAACCCATAGATGGGCAGTTCAGTTCTAGAATCTTGTTCTGAGGGAGAAAGATGGGCAGTCTGCTCCCGTGTCATTTACAGCCTCTGAACACACACTGGAGACTTAGCTGTGAGTCAGTCCTACTCAGTGGCTGTAAAGAGAGAGAATGAGCTCGGGCGCCATGGTTGTTGAGGCTTTGTGCTGCTAATTCAAAGTAGAAGCTCTTTGGCAGTTTGGATCTTCCAGCTGCTTCTTGGGAGAAAGATGAGCAGTCTCCTCCCTGATTATTTGCCACCTCAGAAAACCTGCTGAAGGATCGTTCATGAGTCAGCTCTAATTTAGCACCAATAAGTTTTAAATGATTAATGAACATCAGAAGGCTCCGATTCCCCTTTCTCATTTCACTTCTACTAAGTTTTACTACTGCATAAGAACCTTGCTGATAGTTATTATTTTAATTTTTAAAAGTATAATGTATAGTGAAAAAGAAACACAAAAATATGCCAGAAATATCACTTGTGGCTACCACATGAAGATTTAATAATACATTAGCCACTACCCATGAAAGCCACATTCTTTTCCTCTATTCCTCCTTGTTGGAGGTAAGCAAAGACCTGTTTTTAACACTATTACATTGATTTTTGTCTGTGTATTAATTTGGAAAAAAATCAGCTCATAATCTGTTTGTATCTGTCTTTATTCACAACTGTTTGTGGAATTCAGTGAGGACACTTGTTCATTTTTATTGTTGTACTGATGCTTGTACCGGTATATGGCTATACCACAATTTGTCCATCTTATGTTGATGGTGGTTTGTGGTATTTCCTATTCTTGTCTATTTTGAATAATACTACTTTGAACACTTCTGAGCAGGGCTTGATGCACTTTTATCTGTTGGTGTGTACTTCAGAGAGAAATGAATACTCGTGTTAAAAGGAATGTGTGTATTCAACAGTTGTTGTTATTATGTGCCGTCGAGTTGCTTGTGACTCATAGCAACCTTATGTACAACAGCCCTAAACTGTGCTCTGTCCTGTGCCAATCACAAAGTCTCCGATACCCCATCCCGATTACCCCAGTCACTGAATCAATCCACCTCATAGGGGGTCTTCTCCTTCTGCTCTTTCCCTCCACCCTCCCAAGCATGATGTCCCTGTCCAAGGACCTGTCCCTCCTTGCAACATGTCCACAGTATGTTAGACGGAGGCTTAGAATCCTTGCCTCCAAGGAGCAGCCCGATTTGACCCTTTCCAAGATGAATATGTTTGTTTTCCTAGCAGTCCATGGTACCCTCAATACTCTTCTCAGCACCACAGCTCAAAGGCATCAATTCTCCTTCTATCCTCCTTAGTCATTGTCCAACTCTCTGATGCATCACAAGTGATAGCAAAGACCATGGCCTGTATCAGACGCACCTTAATCTCCAGAGAGAAACCATTGCTCTTCAGTACTTTGGAGAGGTCCCTAACAGCAGACCTTCCTAATACGTCTTCTAATTTCCTGGCTGCTGGTGCCGAGAGTGTTGACTGTGGAGCCAAGCAAACTGAAGCTGTGAAAAATCTCAGTCTCATCACCATCCATCCTGATGCTGCCAATTGGTCCATTGGTGAGAATCTTTGTCTTCTTGACATTGAGCCTCAATCCATATTGGAGGCTGCAGTCCTTGACCCTCTGTAGCAAGCGCTTCAGGTCTTCCTCAGTCAAAAAACAGGCTTGTGTCATCTGCATAGTGCAGATTGTTGATAGAACTTCCACCAATCCTGATGCCACATTTCTCCTCATAGAGCCCAGCCTCTCAAGATAATCTGTTCTGCATACAGGTTGAAAAGGTATGGAGACAGGACACAACAGTAGTAGGTAATAATGCCAAACAGTTTTCTTAAATATTTGTACCAGCATTATTAGAGAAGAATTCCTGTGGATTCACAACTGCTGTCAAACTTCCTTTTGTCAGTCATGATAATAATGTCATTTTGTTGTTATGTGCCATAGAGTTGGAACTGACTCTTAATTGACCCTCCAGCAGGTTGTCAAAGACAGTAATCCAGGACAGTTTTTTACAGGAGAAGTTTTCAGAGACAGTAACACAGGAGAAGCTTGCCCTTATTTCTCCTGTGGAGCAGCTAGTGGATTCTGCTGCATGTCTTTGGGTTGTCACTGCAACTCCTTACCATAAAACTACCAGAATTAATTATAGCCAATCTAAAAAATTGGATTGGATGTGTGATGTAATGATATTTAATTGTGATTAGTTTGTTTGCTCTGACTGCTGTTGAGATCAGTGTTTCTTTTTCATGTTTACTTACCATTAAGAGGTGGGGGGGATGTTTCCTGCTCAAGTCATAAGGTTTGTTTTAATATTTTGGTATCTGGTTTTAGGGTGTGTGAGAGAGCGAGAGAAAAAAAAATTGTATTTAGAATTAGCCAGCTGGACTCAATTTAGATGATCCCAATTTTGTTGGCAACATCCAAAGCATCATAGTCAGGAGCAAGCCGAACATAGGCCTTCTTCTCTCCACCAGGCCTTAATCTTAATCAAAGTGTTGACCTTAGCCACATCAATGTCATAGAGCTTCTTTACAGCTTATTTTATTTGGTGCTTGTTGGCCTTGACATCCACAGGGAACACAAGTGTGTTGTCATCTTCTGTCTTCTTCATAGCTGACTCAGTGGTCACGGGAAATTTGATGGTGGCATAGTGTTCAAGCTCTTCCGTGGGTATTTGGGCTACCTTTGGAGAGTCTCAGAATCTTAGGCCACCAGAAGGTGGGTGATGTGCGGATCTTTTTTTTATTTGCTGTGGATGCCCTTCAGGACTGCCTCCTTGGCCCTTAATGCCTTTGTTTTGGCTTCGGTTCGAGGAGTTTCAGGGGCTTCTTTCTTCACTTTTGGCACCATCTTCATAGAAAAGGCTATTTTTGTTTTTCTTATTGAATTGTTAGTCTTTGTTGGTTGATGCATAGTGCACCATTTACTATTTCTTGTAGGGTTAATGTAGTTTTCAAAAGCATCTTTATTTTGTTTATTTGGAAATATCCTAATATTGTCTTCAGTAGAGGGACAATTTTGCTGGGTATAGAGTTTTTGATTGATAGCTTTTCCCTTTTACAATTTTTTGTGTATCATCTCATTGCCTTGTGGTCTGCATGGTTTTTGCTGAGAAATTTAATATTAATGATTCTTCTTTATCAGTAACTTTTTATTCTCCTTTTAGAATTCAACTTCTAGTATTCAGGATTTTTTTTTTTTAATTTTTAAAAAAATGATAATGATTTGTCATGGTGTTTTTCTTTTGGCGTTTGTTCTGGAGTTCACTCAGCTTCTTGAATGTGTATTTTCTCTTTTCTCATAATACTTGGGAAGATTTCTTCCAGTACCTCTTAAATAGTTTTCTCACTAGGGTTGTTTTTGGTTGGTTAGCTGTTTTATTCTTTTATCTCGTTCTATTTTTTCCTAATCCAAAGAAAGGTGATCTGACAGAGTGCAGAAATCATCGAACAGTATCATTAATATAGTGCTCAGGCCTTTTGTTCATAGGGTCACTATGACTTGTCTGTGACTCAACGGCACCTAACAACAACACAACATCGTTAATATGACATGCAAGCAAAATTCTGAAGATTATCCAAAAACAACTGGAACAGCACATCAAAAGAGAACTGCCAGAAATGCAGGCTGAGTTTAGAAGAGGCCAGGGTTCTAGGGATATTGTAGCTAATGTTAGATGGACCTTGGCTGAAAGTAGGGAGTACCAGAGGAATGTCTTACTGTTTTTCATTGACTATGTAAAAGCATTTGACTGGGTGGACCACAAAAAACTGTGGCTAACTCAGAGAAGAATGGGAATCCAGAACACTTGCTCATGCTTATGTGAAGCCTATATGTGAAGGCTTTTGTCATAACAGAGCAAGGAAACACTGCATGGTTCAGAATTGGAAAGGATATACTCCAGGGATGTGTCCTATCTCCATACCTTTTCAATCTATATGCAGAACAGATTATCTGGGGGTCTGGGCTCTACAAGGAGAAATGTGGCATCAGGATTGGAGGAAGACTCATCAACAACCTACATTATGCAGATGACACAACCCTGCTTGCTGAAACTGAGGAAGACCTGAAGTGCTTGTAGCAGAAGTTTAAGGACTGTAGCCTTCAATATAGATTGAAGCTCAACATCAAGAAAACAAAGATTCTCACTGCTGAGCTGATTGGCAATATCATGATAGATGGTGAAGAGATTGACATTGTTAACAGCTTTAGTTTGCTTAGCTCCATAGTCAACATTCTTGGTACCAGCAGCCAGAAAATTAAAAGACATATTGCATTGGGAAAGTTTGCTGTCAGAGACCTCTTCATAGTATTAAAGAGCAATGGTGTCAGTCTGGAGACTAAGGTGTACCTGATCCAGGCCATAGTCTTTGCATTTACTTGCATCAGAAAGCTGGACAATGACTAGGGATGATAGAACGTGAACTGATAGCACATAAGCAACAACAGTGAAAAGGTACATTGTACAACAGTGAAATAATCTTTTAAAAGAGAAAAGTGAACTGCGTGAGGGTTAGGGAGGAAAATGTGCAACAACTAAAGAATGGAAATCCAAGTTTTCTGTAAACTTTTGTTACCAATAAAAAAAATAAAAAGAAATTTGATACCTTTGTGCTTTGGTGCTTGAGAAGAGTATTGAATATATCATGGGCTGCTAGGAGAACAAACAGGTTTGTCCTAGAGAGGGTGAGACCAGGCTACTCCTTAGAAGCAAGGATTCTGAAGCTTCATCTGACATACTTTGGGCATGTTGCAAGGAGGGACCAGTCATTGGAGAGGGACGTCATGTTTGGGAGCATGGAGGGACAGTGCAGGAGAGAGAGACCCTCCATGAGATGGATTGATTTTGTGACTGGGGTAATGGGAGTGGTGTGTCAGAGACAGTAAGTCCAGTTTATCTACATTTTTTCTTTCCTTGCTCTTGTGATCAGATAAAAAGTATACAATTTTCTAGATTTTAATTTGTGGAAAAATTTACCAGTTTAATCACCACCCAGATCAACAAAGAGAACACTTATGACACTCACTCTCTGTTCTAGTCAAGAAACACTTCACTACAGAGAGGTCACTATTGTTCTTTTTTCTTTTTTTAAAAAATTTATTCGTTTTAATGAAAGTTTTCAGAGACTTAGGATTTCCAATCATTCATTGTTGCACTTTTCTCTCTGTACACCCCTTCCCCCACCCCCAAATCACTCTTCTCCTTGAAAAGAAAAACTCTTTCATTGTTATGCAGTCCCTCCCCATATGTTCACTCTGCAATGCAGCCTTCATTCTGGACTTCTGTAATGACAAGAATATATCTCTTTTAAACAGATCTCTCCCTCATCTGTTTCAATGCAATACACATCATTCCTCCCCTCCTTTTCTGTCTTCCTTAAACCCTGATATCAGTCCCGTTTTACAACCGTGGCCCTATGCAGTATTTGTCCTTTTGTGACTGAGATATTTCATTCAGTATAATATCCTCCACGGTCATCCATTTTTCTTTTTTTAAAATTTAACTTTATTATTAATTTCAGTAAATATTTACAGAGACTTTGGATTTCCATTCATTCATTGCTGTACTTTTCTCCCCTCCCAACCCTCCCCTCTAGTACACTCCCCTCTTGAAAAAGTAAAAGAAAAATTCTTTCATTGTTTTACAAACCCTGCCCTAGATCCACTCCACCATGTAGCCTTCGCTCTAGACTCCTGTTATGACGAAGATACCTAATCACATATCCCTTTTAAACAGTTTTCTCCCTCATCTGTTTCAATGCAGTATACATTATTGAACCCATCTTTCTCAGTCTCTCCCCAACCCCAAGGTCAGTCCTGTTTTACAACAGTGGCACCATGCAGTATGTGCCCTTTTGTGACTCAGATATTTCACTCAGCATAATGTCCTCCAGGGTCACCCATTTTGAATAATATTGCCTGAGTTCCTTGTTTTTCAATGCTGCATAGTATTCCATGATGTGAATATACCACAGCTTCTCTATCCATTCTTTTGTTGATGGGCACTTACGTTGTTTCCAACTCCTTGCAATTGTGAACAAAGCCACAATAAACATGGGTGTGCATATATCTGCTTGGATGTTCAGTTATGGTCTCTGTGGGATATATTCCCAGTAGTGGAATTGCTGGGTCAAATGGTATCTCTATTTGCAACTTTTTGAGAAAGTGCCATACCGCCTTCCACAGTGGTTGCACCATTTTACAGTCGCACCAACAGTGAATATGGGTTCCAGTTTCTCCACAACCTCACCAGCATTTGTTGCTTGCTGTTCTGTTAAATTTTGTTATTCTGTCTGCGGTGAGATGATATCTCATAGTTATTTTGGTTTGCATCTCTCTTAGAGCTAGGGATTTTGAACATTTCTTCATGTGCTTGTTAGCCATCTGAATGTCTTTTTCAGTGAAGTGTCTGTTCATATCCTGTGCCCATTTTTCTATTAGATTATTTACCTTTATCTTGTTGTGGTGAGGGTCATCCATTTTGCATAATATTTCATGAGTTCCTTGTTTTGCAATGCTGCATAGTATGCCATTGTGAGAATATACCAGAGCTTCTCTATCCATTTGTTTGTTGATGGGCACTTGGGTTATTTCCAGCTCTTTGCTATTGTGAACAAAGCCGCAATAAGTGTTCTGACTTTTAACACCATATTTTAGTATTGCCTCTTCTAGAACCTTGTAGAAACCTAATCCTATAGTGTGTATTTGATTGTCATGTCTGTGAAATTCGCCCACAATATTCTGTGTACCTGTAGTTCTTTTTAAATGCTGTGAATAAACTTTTACATGGATATACCATAATTTGTGCATTCTGCAGTTGTGAGACATTTAGGTTCTTTCCACGTTTTCACTATTAATCAGCAAGGCTTGAATTTTAGGTGATTTTAGTTTTTCGTATACCATTTTCATTTAGTCTTTATTGCTATCAGTTCTACCAGTTTTAAATTGTATCTTTTATATCTTTGAACATAGTAAGCATAGTTATTTTAATGTCTGTCTGCTAATTCACATACTTGAGTTCCTTATGGACCTATTTTTAATTTTATTTTTTATCATGCTTTTTGATAACTTCTCACTTGAGTACTAGACAATGTATTTGAGAACTAGACAATAAACCTGGGATAATACCATCTTCCTTTTGAAACGCAATAAACTCATGATTTTAAAAGCCTTGGTCATATTAACTTAGTATAATAAGGATTAAGGGTTTGGTTTGTTTTGGTTTGGCTTGGTTTTTCAGTTAAAGGGGTTAGGTTATTTTATCTTTTATCCTTAGAGTGTGAACCTTTGGAATTCCTGCAGGTTGCTTATCTGGTCTCTACTTATTTAGTGGGCCCTGAACTTTTGTTTTTGCCACCCTGTACTGAAGGAGGTTTTTAAACTTCCAGGCTCAACTTGTCATGACTGCATCTGGCTCGCCTGTGATTGCCCAGTTCCTACAGAAGAACTTTTCCGGATGGTGCATTTCCCTTCCCATGTGTCCTTCTCCCCTGTCCTTGTCTCTGATTCTTCAAGTAGATATATGCTAATAGTTTACTCAGCTTTTCTCATTCAAAGTGAGAAAAATTTTTTCATATAATCCATTGTTTTTAAAACGATTGGGACCTCAGGCCTGGTGTTAATTGTGTTTGGGATGAACAGTCTTCTGTGTGATACAGCACTGGTCTTGTCAGTTTGCTGTATTGAAGTTACTTGGGGTTGCTATGATGCTGATTGCTGTGCCACTAGTGTGCCAAATGCCATAATGGTACCTATGATGGGACAGTGTTTGGTGGAGCTCCCAGATTAAGACATGCTTGGAAACAGGAGTACCATCCACTTCCTAAACAACAGCTTCTGGAAACTATGAACGTAGAGAAACAACAATAGTTAAAGAACAGGGTTCATGTCTATTGTTTATAGTGTTGCTATGAGTTTTGTTCCACTTGACGACACTTAACAACAACTCGTTGAAAGTAAAATTCTGACAACAGAGGTTTTTTTTTTTTAAATGGCTTAATTATAAGGGGTTGTGCTGTCAACCAAAAGGCACATGGTTCAGATCCATCAGCTGTTCCATGGGAAGAAGATGGAGTCTTCTTGTGTGATTTATGGCCTCTAAAAACCCATAGGAGGGTCCGCTATGAGTTGGTCCCAGCTCTGCAGTACATAACAACAACAACAACAACAAACGTGATTGTTTGGATTTACAGTATAACTCTTGTTCTAGACTCAGTAACATTTAGTTTTCCTCAGAAACAGGAAAAGTAATTCAAAGTCATTTAGAATTCCGTGATAATTGTTTTTTGCTTGTAAATAAATATCTTCAGAGAATCTTAATTGGAAGAGATTAATTTATCCCTTATATCGATGTTTTATTGTTTGTGTTTTTAAATTTAAATTTTATTTTAGAAATATTTATGTCACATAGGTTGATAAACTGCCAGAGATGCATGTAAGGAATCCTGGTAGTGCAGTTGTTAAGTGCTAAATTGTTAACCACAAAGGTAGTTATTTGAACTAGTCAACTTCACCCCTGGAGAAAGAAGGAAAATGTACAGTCAGCTTCCATGAAGATTATAGTCTGGAAACTAATCTAGTTCTACCCTGTCCTGTAGCATTAAAGTGAGTTGCAATTAATTTGATGACAGGGATTGGTTAATTTAGAAATTCAAATAGTATCTGTTGTTAATGTAAAATGGAAGGGGCTGTAGGCACTGCCTTGTGTTACCAAAAATCCCAAAGCCTGTACTCAGCTGATTTGCATACATCTGTTAAAGAAGATAAAAGGTAGCCTAATAAAACATTATCAATTCTGCAGGAAGAGTTTGTTTAGAATAACCACTTTCCTAACTCTGTGCTTTTTGTGTTTGCATTTTTTCTTAAAAAACCAAAACCAAAACCCAGATCTCTGCACTTGTCCTAAGGGCCCAAGCATCTGAGATTTTACTTGAAGAGTTACAACAGGGATTTTCCCAAGCAAAGAGAGAGGTTCAGGAACAGATGGTAAGTTAAACTTTTGAATAAATGTTAACTGTCTTATGTATTGTTCAGTCTTAAAATCTTCTATAAGTCTTATCTCCCTGGCCATCAACTGTCTGTGGAACATTGAGTAGTGGCAAGATACTGTAAAGAAATCATCTCTTTTAAACCTAGCTGTTGACACAGAAATTATAACCTTTTCTTTTTCTTTTTTAAATTTGTTGTATGTCGAATCAGATCTGACTGGCATAGGAGGAGATTGCCCCGCCTTCTCCAGTGGAGCATCTGATGGATTCGAACTGCTCACCTTTAAGATTGCAATGCAGCTTCTTGCCACTAGGCCACCAGAGCTCCCTAGAAATTATAACATTTAACTTTAAATTTTTAACTTGGAAAATCTTATAAAAATAAACTGTGGGGAATTATTTCCGTTCCAGTTTCAAACACAAACTAAATGTTGAAATTGTACCAGCTCTTGGTTGATGGGGCTTTTTTTTAGAGCAGTCACTATGTTTTTCCTGAGTAACAGCACTATTTCCATAGAGGTAATGGGTGCTTCCAGGTGGTATCAGAAGAAACTTTTCAGCCTCAGCATCCCTAAATGCAGTATTTTAGATCAGAATTGTAAATACACCTTGTTCCTTTGGAACCATCAGTCCTCAGGATCCAGTTAACTCACAGTTCCAGCATCATGACTTCACTTTAAGCATAGCTACCATTTCTCCTCATTTCACTGTTTTTGCTGCTGCCTACATTGAAATGGGAGATGCCCTTTCTCTCTTGTTATATGCATTTCTTATCGTTACTGGTGTTTGTGCTTGTTTAAGGGTGTATGCAAGGAGGAGAAATTGACAGATGAGACTTCTTTGAAGGACTTCCTTAATCAAACCTGACCTTGAAAACCCTTTTGTTATTGAAGTTAAATCTGAGTTTGATGTGTGAAAGTTCCCCAAAGTCAAGATAGTAAATAGGGTTGTTTCAGATACTTTTCTCTAAATGGGCTCTAATTAATCTATGTAACATTGAGAAGGATGTTTTCTTTGTTCACGTTAGAAATGCAGGCTAAAATTTGTATTTGCTGATTAGAAAGAAGGTAAAAAAAATTATTACTAAAACTGGCTTCCAAAGGCCAAAGCACACGAAACAGAGGGAAGCCAATATCCAGAAGTCTACAGAGTCACTGTTATTTGGCTATAATTACTGCTTCCTGAATTACAAAGAAGTCTTTCTCCTTATATTTTTATTGGATTTGTGTTTTGTTAGGTAAGTTAATACAACACCCACATATGAAATTTGTTGATGTTATGTGCTTTTGAGTCAGAACTGACTAATAGTTGACCCTCCACAGATCTTCAGAGGCAGTAAATCACACAGAAGGAGATTGCTAATATTTCTCTTGCGGTGTAGCAAGAAATTGAACTACATGCCTTTTGAGTTGGCAGTGCAACTCCTTACCACTGTGCTACCAGAGCTCCGAGTCACTTGCAACTCATAGTGACCCTGTGTACAGTTGCTCTGAACGCTCCCCTATCCTGAGCCAATCTCATTGTCTCTGACAAACCTAATACCATTTCTCTAGTCCCTGAGCCAATCCATCTCATCCTGGGTCTTCCTCTCCTGCACTATCCCTCCAAGCATGATGTTTTTCTTCAAGGACTAGTCCCTTCTGGCTGTGTGCCCAAAATATGTGAGATGGAGCTTCAGAAGCCTTGCTTCTGGGGAGCAGTTTGGTTTCACCTTCTCCAGGACAGACCTGTTTGTTCTGGCAGTCCATGGTATGTTCAACACTCTTCTCCAGCACCACAACTCAAATGCATTGATTCTTCTATCATCCTTAGTCATTATCCAACTCTCTGACACATAGATAGCAAGTGATTGCAAAGACCATGGCCTGGATCAGGTATACTTTAGCCTCCAGATTGATCATTGCTCCTCAGTATTCCAGAGAGGTCTCTAATAGTAGACTTTTCCAATGCAGGTAGTCTTTTGATTTTTTGACTTCTGGTGCCAGAAGTGTTGATTGTGGAACCAAGCATGGTGAAGTTCTTAACAACCTCAATCTCTTCTCCAAGTATTCAACAACTCTTCAGAAAAGAGTGACTTTGAGAGTGTTTGACTGTTAATACCAGTCACAGCTCTCATCAAGCCAAGTCCATCCTATAGTCACCCCATGTGTATTGGATAGAGCTTTATTCCTTAAGACTTTCAGTGGCTGATTTTTTTTTTAAGTGGGTTTGTTTTTTTTTTAATTTTGTGTGCGTGTACCGTCAAATCAGATCTGACTGGTACAGGAGGATATTGCGCCTCCTTCTCCGGCAGAGTGTCTGGTGGATTCGAACCGTGTTCCTCTGGGATTGCAGTGCAGCTTCTTGCCACTAGGCCACCAGAGCTCCCCGCAGTGGCTGATTTTTGAGAAGAAAATCACCAGTCCTTTCTTTTGAGGTGATTCTTCTAGGTGAACCCAAATGTCTTAAGTTTTCAGTTAGCAGCTAAACATTTTAGCTGTTTGTCCTGCCTAGGGACTTATTCTCCTAAACTTTGAATTTAGAAAAATTTTAAACTTAAAAAAAGTTTTTTAAAATATACTAGAATGAGCTCTGACAAACCATCGCTTAAATGAATTCTTAATATTTTACCACTTTTGTACATGTTTGCACTTCATATCCTCTGGGGAGTTTTAGGTGATTTTATTCTTTCCCTCTCTGCTGCACTGCAGTCTCAAAGAAACACTGTTCAAGGCCACCAGCTGCTTTGTGGGAGAAGGACGGGCAGCCTCCTCCCACGTGATTAACCGCCTCTGAAAACCCGCTGGGGGGTCACCTGTGGGGACTGTATACAACAACAACTACGTAAAAGTGCATGGTTTGGTGTGGAGGGTTTTTTTTTGGTTTGTTGGATTTTTTAAGGAACTTTTTTATTTCATTTTTTAACTTCTTTTCTAACCCAATTGTGTTCAGGCAGAGAGTTACTTAGTTTCCATGTAGGTGGTTTTCTAAGCTTTCTCCTCTTGGTTAATTTCTAGTCTTATGGCAAGTGCATAGCGTTTGGGAGTTTTGCTTCTCCTTTCTGTTTGACTGAGCCATCTAGAATTAAGATACAGGCATCATGACATGCCTAACTATTTAAGTATTTTCTTGTAGGAAAAAAAGATGCTACCCTATTCTAAGTAATCACAAAATTTCTTAGAAATTTCTCCAGTTATCCCAAAAAGCCCTTGATGGTTTATTTGGTGGGATTTTTTTTTCTTTTTTAATCCAAGAATCAATAAATAACACCATACACTGTCTTTTGTTATTGATTCTTTAGGTTTTTTTAAAAATCTAGGGGAGCTCTGGTGGCCTAGTGGTAAGAAGCTGCACTGCAATCCCAGAGATACGCGTTTCAAATCCACCAGATGCTCTGCCGGCGAAGGAGGGGCCATCTCCTCCTGTACCATTCAGATCCGATTTGACGGTACACACACAGAGAAAATAATAAAATAAAATTTTTTTAAAAATCTATAATAATCTTTTATTTTTTAATTTTACTTCCAATATTAAAATTTTTGAAGAGTCATCTCAGTCTCCTTGTGGAATATTTGAGGCTAAACTGCTTAATAAAATGCAGTTATCTAATTATTAGATTCAGGTTAAGCATCTTGGTAAGAATATTAAATAGGTGACATAATACAGTAGAATATTTACAACATCAAGAGAGGTATAAATCATCTATAACATTCACAGAACATCTATAAACAATTGTTATAAAAACCAATAATGAATTTTTAAAACCATCTTTCAAGTAAAAAAAGTACATTAATTTAAAAATTTTATAAATATGTAAAAAGTGTTGAGATACATATAAAGATTGCTGTTTTTTTTAGATGAATAGTTTTTTTATTAATTTTAATGACAGTTTACAGAGACTTGGGGTTTTCATTCATTCACTGTTGCAAGATAGCTATTCTTTTTTTTTTTTTATGGACATTTACAGAGACTTTGGATTTACATTCATTCATTATTGCATTTTTCTCCCTGCCCACCGCTCCCCCCAATTCACGTTTCTCTTTGAAAAGTAAAAGAAAAATTCCTTCATTGTTATATAATCCCCCCCCAAGTCCACTCCACTATGCAGCCTTCATTTTGCACTCCTGTCCTGATAATACCTAATCATAAATCGCTTTCAAACAGTTCTCTCCCTCATCTATTTCAATGCAGTATACATTATTTGTCCCATCTTTCTCTAAGAGGGAAAATAATGACATTTTTGTGTAAAGACAGGAGGTTAGCTTTAGGAAAAAAATGAAAACATGACCATCCCAGGCACAACAGTTGATGTCACCTGCAGCAGCCGAGGAAGAGGAGTGTATGGAATATTTGATTTATGGCCTCCTTTTCCATCAGAACAGAACCAGATGATGGCTGGCTAACTGCAGAATTTCAGATTCTAGTTGACTCTAGACTTTGTAGAACTATGGAGGTTGAATGCATCCCTGAAATTGTCCTCCTGAGATAATCTCTTCAATCATTGAACATTCTCTGAAGTCTTCTTTAAACCAGTGAATACCTGTTTTAAGCATTGTGCTCTTCAAAATCTCCATGGAATCAAATTGACAACAACTTGAAAAAAGGAACTTTGTTGGGCAGTGAATTTATGTTAATGTAAGAGAAAAACTATTGCACAACTCAGCATGATTAGTTCAGTAAATAATACATATGAAAATTGGTGTATTATATTTTTATCATGTACATTTTTGACAGTTTGAAAAGAACCTCTTATCTAATTCTCATTTGTAAGAACCCTAGTTTTAGAACTATGTTAATATTTGTACATTAAATGGCATTTGCTTCCCCTTCCCTCATAACAGATGAGAACACAGACTTTTGGTATATACAAAGCTAGACATAAATTTGCATCTAGGAGCAGATTGTTTACTCTATAATCCCATAAACTACAAACTGAATAAAAGAGAATTTTCCTGTTGGTGGGAGTGTAAAATGGTGCAACCTCTGTGGAAAGCAGTATGGTGCTTTCTCAAAAAGTTGCAAATAGAGATACCATTTGACCCAGCAATTCCACTACTGGGAATATACCCTGAAGAGACCAAAACTGACATCCAAGCAGATATATGCACACCGATTTTTATTGCAGCTTTGTTCACAATAGCAAGGAGTTGGCAGTGGTATATTCGCACAATGGAATACTATGCTGCATTGAAAAACAAAGAACTCATGCAATATTATTCAAAATGGTTGACTCTGGAGAACATTATGCTGAGTGAAATATCCCAATCACAAAAGGACAAATATTACATGATGCCACTGTTGTAGAATGGGACTAACCTCAGGGTTGGGGAGAGACTGAGTAAGATGTGTTCAATAATGTATACTGCACTGAAACAGAGGAGGGAGAAAACTGTGTAAAAGAGATATGTGACTAGGTATTTCTGTCATCACAGGAGTCTAGAGCGAGGGCTACACGGTGGAGGGGACCTGGGGGAGGGTTTGTAAAACAATGAAAGAATCTTTTCTTTTACTTTTCCATAATTTTTGACTCATGTACTTATAACTTGTTAGTTAAATTTGTGTCTTCTAGGTTGCAACCCCCCCATGATACATCTTCAGGGATATGAACATGTACGGCTAAGCACAATTAATAACAGTGCATCTAAATTCCAAAATCAATCTCCATAATAGTCTATGTGCTTCCTACTGCCAAAGGGGCCCTTTAGAGTAGTGAGAGAAGATCTTCACCCTGAAACCCACACCGTCCCTTTTCAGCAGGAAGTAGCTAAGAGAATACGCCATCCCCTTTTCCTTATGAATCAGGGTGAAGTCTCTCTCAGGGAGGAGTGATAGGGAATGGCAAAGGACACACCAACAAAGGAGATTAATCAGAACTGATTTTGACAAGCACTGTGGCGATTGGACAATTAAAACAGACATTCGGATGGCGGGGAAGAAGAACAAACTGGGGAGGAGGGTAGAGAAAATGGTGCAGTAATGAAGGAATGAAAACCCAAAATCCCTGTAAATGTTCATTAAAACTAATAAAATTTTAAAAAAAAAAAGAATTTTCATTTCTTGGGGGGGGCGGGGAGAAGAAATAAGACTGTTTCCCATTTTATGGATAAATTTCCCAAGTGCCCTGTCTTTACTTTCAATATTTGGAGCCCTTGGACCATTAATAGGATCCTGGGGGTGCACTCACTGTGTTACTACGTATTATAATGCTGACCCAGAGGTCTGTGAGGTGAATACAGTAGCCATGCAGTGGGGAAAAAGATAAGAATCTGCTCCTGTTAAGATTCAGTCTTGGAACCCCAGCGAAGGGCCACCAAGGGTCAGGATGGACTCAGAAGCAGTGGGTCTGGAGCCATTCAGTGACCGTATGCTTGAACATACATGTACTCAGTAGAAAGTGAAGAGACTGATTCTTGTTTCTTCGTAGGTCCTATTTGATGCATGCCCTGAGGAAACAAGAACTGCCTTGGTGGGCAGGCTCTGTCAAGGAAGGAAAGATCTTAATTGCCAACAGCCGCTTCTATTGAGCTACAGTACCTAGTCCTTTTATTATTTCAGGCTTGATATATGGAGAGAAGTGATTCCTTAATTTTAAGCTATCAGAAGAAATAGTGGGAAGTGAGTGGAGACTCATTGTCCCTTTGTTAAACATGTATATAGGCTATAAATCAAAAGATCTCTGAGCTACCTTTTTTAAGTTTTGTAGAACTTTACTAGTTATGTCTCCATCTTCAGCCTTATTTGTTTTGGCCTTATTTTCCTCAGTACAGCTGTCTGCAGACAGTATTTACCTTTCTATCTGTGATACAGTGTCTGTGTTTATTTTAGGCAGTGCTGATGCAATCACGGGAACAGGTTTCAGAAGAGCTGGTGAGGTTACAGAAAGATAATGACAGTCTCCGGGGAAAGCATAGTTTGCATGTGTCCTTACAGCAAGCAGAAGACTTCATCCTTCCAGACACTGCAGAGGTAACCCACTTTGCACATGATTTATGCTATTCTTGCCAGAACCAAGATGAGAATGCAGCAGAAGTTACCTGTTTAATCCCAGCTTACTTCTTGAGATGGATATAGTTTTAATCTTGCACATAAATTACTTAGTAGCATCCTGTTCATGCTTCTGTGGTTGGGGAATTAGAGCTTCAAGACTGGAAGTTTCCCTTAAGCCATTGTTCTTATTTATATACAGTAAAACATCTGAACTGTTGATTTAACAGAGAAGATTATTGTGCATTTCCAGAGCAGAAAATTCAGACTTTTAAGCATGTTAGACTTTTCTGCTGTGAAAATAAACCATTTTGGCTTGTCATATTCTCCTATTTCTATAGCATATATGACATGGTTTTATAGTACCCATTATTAAAGTTCAAACAGGTTAGTATTCAAGATGTTACTTTTTATATAATTTAAAACTATCTGAAAATCTAGTTTTAAAATATCTTGCACTTCTTTATTTCATTTCATGTTAAAAAACCCAATAACCGTTTGTCTCCTGAATTCAGGAACTCCGGGAGTTGGTGTTAAAATACCGTGAGAACATCATTAATGTGAGGACAGCAGCAGACCACATGGAAGAAAAGTTGAAGGCTGAAATACTTTTTCTAAAAGAGCAGATTCAAGCAGAACAGTGTTTAAAAGAAAACCTTGAAGAAACTCTGCAGTTAGAAATAGAAAACTGCAAAGAAGAAATAGGTGAAGATAAAAATGGAAACACTAGATGACTCTTCTCTCTTTTTTTTAAGTTTTTTTATTATTATTATTAATTTTAATGAAAATTTAGAGATATTTTGGATTTCCATTCATTCATTATTGCACTTTCTCCCTGCCTACCTCTCCCCTCCAGTTTGTTGTTCTGTTTGAAAGTAAAAGAAAAATTCTTTTATTGTTATATAATCCCTTCCCCCAAGTCCACTACACTGTACAGCCTTCGTTCTGGACTCATGTCATGACACTAATACCTAATCATATATCCCTTTTAAACAGTTCTCTCTCTCTCATCTGTTTCAATGCAGTATACATAATTTATCCCATCTTTCTCAATCTCCCCCCCACCCCCAAACCCGATGTTAGTCGCATTTTACAACAGTGGCACTATGTAGTATTTGTGCTTTTGTGCTGAGATATTTCACTCAGCATAATGTCCTCTAGGGTCACCCATTTTGAATAATATTGCATGATTTCCTTATTTTTCAATTCAGCATACTATTCCATTGTGTGAATATACCACAGCGTCTCTGTCCATTCGTATGTTGATGGGCACTTAGGTTGTTTCCAACTCCTTGCTATTGTGAACAAAGCCGTGATAAACATGGGTGTGCATATATCTGCTCGGGTGGCAGTTATGGTCTCTTTGGGGTAAATGACGCTTCTCATTGTAAAAAGATATATATGGTCATAGGATATGGAAAATAGAAAAGTGTAGAAAATAAGCAAATAAGGATTCACTCCATTGTTCTTGAGTAAATGGACATTTGAAAAAGTCACTTTCCCAAAATTGTTATTTCTAGCAAGTCTGACTAGCAATTGCTAGTAGGAAACTCCAAGCTTAAACCCAGACCGCTGACTTCTCCTGAGATTAACCCCCAGCAGAGTCAGATGTAGATTTTTTACTTTGAAGTAGTTTATGATATTATTCATATAGCCTTTACTTTTACCTGAGCTTGAGTGTGATGTTGATTGATTAGAGCTAATTTTGAGAAAGAAATATTTAAAGAAGAAACATTTTTAATCCAAAATACAAATGGATAATAACACTTCTTTGTTTTTCTCCTTCCCTTCCTGTAGCTTCCATTTCTAGCTTGAAAGCTGAATTAGAAAGAATAAAAGTAGAAAAAGGGCAGGTGAGTGTTATATATATTTGAATTCAATTCTGTGAGCAACCAGTAATTATTTCTTGACTCTAGCCATGTCTGTGATCCTGGGAATGAAAGTTGACAGGTTCTTGCCTTCCAGGGAGTTTTGTCTAGCAGATCTCACACATAAACTGAAAATTAAAGTGGAATAAGAACCTCAGCCATGATCTTAAACACTACTGTATTTATTAGCAATCTGTTTTTATCAGCCATATGTTCACTGAAGGAGGAACAGGGAAGGTGAGATTGTGACAGATAAGGCACAGCCAGGACATGATGAGCTCATACTTCTGTAGAAGAAGGTAGACAGACACTTAGAAACAGGAGATAATGTTTTCCAGGTGGCTTGGTGATCTTTTAGACATCAGCACCTTTGGTAGATGATCCCGTTCAGATGCTGGCTTCACCTTCACCTGCCCTTCATCTCACACTCGGTCATACCGTGCCTCACCTGCCATCTCACTCCAGCTTCATGTTCCCTGACCACAGTTTTCTGTCTAGATCTCAGACTCATTCCCATCTTAATCTTACAGGCCTATTTAGTTTCTCATTCAGACTTTTAATTCTCCAACTGTTTCTTTCCTCCCTTATTTTCAGACTTCTTCATGGTTGTATATTCTTTCCTTCTATCTATTTTACATATCTTGCCTCTTCTAGTCTCCCACCACCCACATCAAGTCATCTGATACTTGTCCTTCTGCCCTCATTTACCACCTGCCAAGTCCTGTATTAGTAATTCTAGTGTCCAGCTTCTTCTTAGCCTCCGCCTCAAGCCACTGATGGTCTGAGAATTGGTAGTTTTACGTGCTAGTGCTGCCCACTGGGTCCCAAGTTCCCCTCAGCCAGCCTTTCATTTACTTTTGGCTGCTGTCTCCCATTCCCCTGGATTTCTCATTCAGTAATCACTGCTGTGACACCTTCACTCTCATCAGCGTTGACCCTAGTTAAGAAGAAAACAGAAGTCATCAGGCAGGACCATTTCTACCTTCCTGGTTCCATTACTTGTTCATCTCCTTTTCTTGCTAGCCTTTTTTCTTGTTTTTCAGAGAAAAAGGATGATCTGTTCTGACCAGTATGTAATCCTGCATGTGTGCGTGCTTTCTCTGAGTTGCACTCCGTATTCCTCAGTCATCACCTCTCAGTCATGGGTCTTGAACTTCTACCTGTTTAGTGACATCCACTTCCTAAACAACATGCCTCTGGGAACTCTTTGAACTTTGATAAATGACGATAGGCTTCAGGCCTTTTGTTTATAAGGTTGCTATGAGTCATCCTCGATGGCAGTCAACAACGACAATATGCATAGACATGTTCACAACTATTCCATTAAGAGAAAGATAGGTACTCTTGGAACTATATTCTCTCTCAAAATACCAGTCTGTCTTTTTCCCTTTATAGCCAAGGTTCTTGAAAGAGTAATCTCAATACCCACTGTAATCTGTGTTCTGCCTCCACTGGTCTACTGATACTGTAGTGGCAGAACGTACCAGCATTCTAAACATGCCGCATCCTTTCCAAACCACTGTTTGGGTTCACAGCTAAACTTACCCACTTCTGATTCATCTTACCTCATCTTGAAATCAGGGTGATCTGTTAAGTATTACAGACTTTATGATGGCACAGTCAGCTTAACACCTTTTTAGTGGTTCCCTTTATCTCTAGGATATAAATCCACAGTCCCTAGCAAAGAAGCAGCAGCTCTTCTGTCTCACTATTAGCTCTCCCGCCTCACTCCCCAGATTCCTGAATACTCTGTACTGTGGACAAAGGAGACTCACCACATTTCTTTCTTTAAAAAATTCTGCTTGTAAAAAGAAAAAATTTGCATGATAGCAGTCCGGAATAAGAACTGTATAATAAAGTGGACTGGGGTAGGGGTGGAGCATTGTACAACAGTGAAAGAATTTTCAAATAGAAAAGCGAATGGGGGTGAGGGTGGGCAGGGAGGAAAATGCTCAACAATGAATGGAAATCCAAGTTCTCGATAAACTTTGATTAAAATTGCAGTTTAAGAAATTTATGGATGTGCGTACTTCAGGTGAAAGTTTACAGAGCAAATAAGTTTCCCGTTTCGTTATTTTGAACGCAAAGTGTTCTTTGCCGTTGGTTACATTTCCCACAGGGTGTCAGCATTCTCATTTCCACCCAGGATTCCTCCATTTCCTTTCATCTGGATTTTCTCTTCCTCCATTCCTCTTTGCCTTTGGACAAATAGCTTCTTGATCTTATTTAGCTGTTTAAGGAACACATCCCTCTTCAGTGCTATTCAGTCCTATTATTTGCCTGAACGGACGTCTCCAAGACTGGTTTCAGTGTCAGTTCTGCAGGGAGACACAGAGCCAATTTCAAAGATTCCTCCAGTCTCTTTCAGTCCAGTAAGTCTGGTCTTTTTTTTTTTTTGGTGAATTTTTTTTATTCTGCATTTTTGTTCTGCTCTGTCCAGGTCCCTCTGTTGTGATCTCAGTCTGAGTAGTAGGTAGTAGGCGGGTCCCATCCAGTTCCATACAGAGTAGTACTTGGGTACCATCCAGTTATGGAGGTCTCAGGATGAGGGAGGCTTTGACTTGTGCACTCCCTTAGCCTCTGGGATTAATTGCTGCTTTCAGTCTTTGGATTTTGTCACTCTCCTTTGCACCAGACAGGAAGAAATTAATTGTTTCGATATCTTTCTCACACTTTTAAATTGGACTTTCTCAAGCTTTTAAGACTCTAGACTCTACTCACCAAAGATGCAGAATACTGTCTTTACGTAATATGTTGGACCAGTTGGCATAGAGGGTCGCTATGAGTCACAGGCGACTCGACGGCACATAACAACAACAACAACCTACATTTCTATGCTCATCATTTATTTCCTCTTTTGGGGGTACTTCTAACTTCCCCTTGCTACTTGTATTTTCATTTGTAAAATTTTTCCATCTTTCAAGAGACTAATGTCATGTATTCTAGGAAGTCCTTCTTAACTCTTTGGACAGAATTAAAATGCTTTTTCTTCCAGGTTCATATGCTGTAAATGTATTTCTCATATGACATAGCCATCCCTTGAAATACAGTAGATTAAAATGTTTATTGCTGTTTAATAAATATTGAAAAAACAAATATTGGAGAATGAATGGTGACTTTGCAGAAATTAAGAAAGAGATTCCAAGCACAGCAAAGGCAAGAAGGGCCTGGAAGCTCTGGTGGTTTAGTTCCTAGCATACTGGCCACCTTCCAATAGAAGGACCCAACAAGTTGGACAGGTGTCTCGAGGCAGTGTGGCAGGCAGGGCCTCAGTGGAGTGGGAGTTTTAGCTTTTTTCCTTCTTATATTTCGCAGCTGGAGTCCACCTTAAGGGAGAAGTCTCAACTGCTTGAAAGCCTTCAGGAGATGAAAAGCACTCTGGAAGAACAGCTAAAGAAAGAGACTGCTGCTAAGGTGAGATTTTAGTTGGATAATTAATAAAAACAGCAAAACAGAAATGGTGCTAAGAGTGCAGAATCACCACCCAAGAAAGGTGGTTTTGCACACCTGGGTTTCAGTTTTCTTCTCCCTAAGATGGATCTTGCTTTGTTGCCTCTTCCGTGCCATCTTCTGAAAGCTTGCAGAAATACATGAGTGTATTTCTTTTTTTTTTTTTTTTTGGTAATCTAGTCAAGTCTGCAAGACTGGAAGACTACCATAGGCCCTGTTGTTCTGTCCTGTCGATTCAGAACCAATCCGTAGCTGACCCTCCAGCAGGTTTTTAGCAGCAGTACATTGTACTAGAGGAGACTGCCCATCTTTCTTTTGCAGAGCAGCTGATGGATTTGGACCATAAGCCTTTGAGTTGGCAGCGCAGCTCCTTAATGTTAGGCCACCTGGCTTTACATGACAGCTATAAGGGTCATTGAGCACTGCTTTGGAAATGTCACTCCTTTTAACTGTGTACCGAAACATAAGATGATTAAGCCAAACTTGTCCAAATTTTGATTATTCACTTGAGATTCATGTGTGGATTAATTGTGGAGGAAGATGCTGCCTTGGTGAGTTGTGTGGACCGTCCTGCAGTGCAGGAAGACTGTGGGTACAATTCAGCAGCTGCATGGCTCCCACATATGCCGGGTGCAGTGATCTTTCTAAAACAGGACAGAGAGAACTGAGGATTTTCCTGGTGGATATTTGACTGTTAGCTGTCAGAAGAAATCCCTCAAGTTTCTTTCCTAGTGCTGTGACAGCCACTGAATTTAGTAGCTGTGTTTTAATGATGAGTCACTGCCAGGGGACGGCAGTACTTAATTGCACTTTCTCTTTACCAGACACACACATTATTTTATGATTTAGAGTAAGTGGCTTAGCCAACTTGAACTATTGTCTTCTAAAGCAGCTCTGGGAGCTCTGGACGCATTGTCTGTAGGGAGCTGTGCTCTAACTCCAAGGCAGTGCTTCTGGTAGTTTGAATCTACTGATATCCTGGGGCAAGACAGCCGATCTCCCATGTGATTTACAGCTTCCTACAACCCCGCTGGAGGACAAGCTGTGAATTGGTTCTGACTTGACAGCAATGAGAGTTGACTTTAATAGAATGTAGGAGTTTGGTGGTTATCTACTTTCCTCCTGCCTAATATTAGGAAACAAATTTCCTTGATTTCTTAAATAATTCATTTGTAACCATCGACTCTTTGTCATTAATACTCAGAATTCTTATCTTCCAGGTTTCTGTTGAACAGCTGATGTTTGAGGAGAAGAACAAAGCCCAGAGACTGCAGACAGAATTAGATGTCAGTGAACAAGTACAGAGAGATTTTGTAAAGCTTTCCCAGACCCTTCAGGTGAGGCATGTGGCGAATCCCTACACAACACTCTTGGGTACCCTGCTATACTCAGTGGAAGCTTGACAGTCCCTGACTTTACCACTGACAGTAGCTAGAGGTCTACACAGTATAGCTTCCCGTCCTCACCCCAGATATCTGTCTAGTCAGTCAAGCCAGAAACCTGGTACATAGATTCATCTCTTCTTTTTCTTCTATGCCTGGCAACTCTGCCTTTTTCATGATATAAACTCCTTTGTGTAACACTAACTGTTCCCAGCCCTCCTGCCCCTATATTTTGTCCTCAGTCTTGTAGTTAGTTTGTGAACTCCTGTGGTTGTCCACTGCAGTTACCTTTCGTAAGCACCCTTGCCTCTTCTCCTTCTTACTCCCGCCATTCAAGGTCCAGTGGAGGTTTGTCCTTTCTGTGGAATCCCGCTCTAGTTACCCCACAGGGCCGATATTTCTCCCACTCGCCCCGTGCTGCCTCTGGTGCTATGGATGTCTACGTGGCGGTTGGCCTATTTGCTAATAGTCTCTTTAAGCCTGCCCTTCTTTGAATTGTGTGCTTGAATCTGTAAGGAATCAGGTGTCATTCATCTCCATAATCCCAGCAGTTTATACTGGGTCTGTTACATAAAATATTTTTCAGCAATTGGTTTTTTTAATAATTATTTTCTCCCTTCTTTGAAGTTGTCTGGTGAGTTAATCTGCTTCTCTATCTCAACTAACCCAATCAAACTAAAGTTCAGAAAATCTAGGCAGGACCCACCCCCATTTAGCTCTGCATTCTCTCTTCTCTCTCTTTAGGTACAATTAGAGAGGATCCGGCAAGCTGACTCCCTAGAGAGAATCCGGGCGATTCTCAATGATACCAAACTGACAGACATTAACCAGCTCCCAGAGACATGACCCATGAAGGCAGGACTCCAGTCTGCACTTTGGGTTTTTAACTCATTTAGAGCAACATTAATTATTATTTAACTCTTAACTGAAGAAATGACACAACACAACGAAGACTGAAGAACTGCTTTTCTAGTGGGAGAAGACTGTGCAGCACAGGAACAGCAAACAGCGGAGCTGTGCAGGGAAGGCCTTCCAGTGTGAACACTGAGGTGGTTCCGGACGCACGTCCAGTGGGGGGGAGGCTCAGATGACGGTGATGGGCAGAGTGCTGATTCCTTGCCTGCTTTATCCAGCGTATATTTCCAGAACATGCTTCTCAATTCTAAACAATCCAAACACCGTTGGAATTTTCTACTCACAGATATTGGAAAAGAGACATTTTTTCTGTTGTCTCATGCTCATCAGTAACAGTATTTATTCAGTTAGCAGACAGAGGTGTAGTGTGCTGTATGAATATTTTATATTAAAATATGAAGTGTGAGAGCAGGCTATTGGCTAGCGACTTCTTTCCTAGCTCAGTGCTTCTCCCTACCCTACCCCCAAAATGGGGGAGGGAAACAATTTTATTAATTTGCATTGGATGATCTTAAATGCTATTCAAACTTGCTGGAGAAGTTGCAAGCAAAACCAGCTGAAGAACTGAATTATGAGAATCTGAAAATGCGGCCTTTGCTGGATGTCTTGGGAGTGGAATTGAAAGGATAAGCACAAGAGACTGGAAGCACTCTTTCTGCACACCTGGGCGGTCTTCGAGGGCCCACCGAGACCAGGGTAACGCTCAACTGCACCGTTTACTGTTTGGAAACTATTTTAGTTATTGGATCAGTGGGGGAAATACTATTAATAAAACAGGTTATGTCTGACAAGTGTATATGTATAAATCTGCTCCTTATTTTCACTTGCTCAGTGGCCTTGAGTACTGCTATGTCAAAAGTCAAATAAAGGGTGATCGCTAGCTCTGACAGATAACCTCCTTTTTCTCTTACCATTTAGAGTCAGAGCATAAGTTTTAATGCTTACAACAGAGCTGTATTTTGGAAAGATCAGGTGAGGATGTTGGCCATTTCCTCAAGAGGTTAGATTCCCTGCCCATGTGACGAAGCTCCAGCAGAACAAGCCCTAACTGCCACAGCTTTTTAACATGTGTTCCATGGCTTCTTTGCTAGCACTCCCCACTGGAGTAGCTGGGAGAAAGCTACACTCAAAGTCATTTTCAAAGATTTCTGTGACTGGTCTCACTTAACAGCAGGTTATCTGAAGGCCATCTACTGGAACTAAAAGGACTAAGTAGATAAGCCCCATCATTAACATATAAGGTGAATTTGTTATAAATGAACTCATTCATGGACTTGCCCTGAAGTCTTCACTTCTGTCTTCCATAGAACAAGTGAGAAAGACCACATACCTCACACCTTGGCTTACTGCCATAGTTGTACATTCATGATTATGAACTTAAATGATGGAAACAGTGCTGTAAGACTGCCATGCATGAAACAATTGGTTTAAAGCTCTTATGTATGAAGAATATTGATTTAAAGGAAATCTGTACCTTCATTTAATTCCAGGAAATTTTCTTAATCCTCAGATCCGTTTAAATAATTTTAAAATTAGTCCATTTAGTAGGACCTGAGGTCTTTTTATCTTATTACTGTAAATCAGGGCAACTGATTGATCTTTCTGAATTAACCTTGAAGATTTTATTTTTCCTTTCCCCAGAAGATGGTACTGGGACATTTGCCACTGTTGAGGGAAATGTCAGTGACCTCGCTTGTGGATATGCAAACTGTTGATCCAGTTTTTGCTGAAGAAAATACTCTAGAGAAATCCAGACTAAGTTTTAGTTAACACTTTCTTTCTGTATGAAACAAATTACTGTGTCACTAATCTGGTGGGAAATGGATTCCTCCCCCCCCCCCGCCCCAAACTGTGCTTTGTGCATAATAGGAAAATGATTAGAAAACAGGATTTGGCCTTTATAGACAAAAAGATAGATGGGTTTCAGGCGTGTTTCTGTGCTTTTTATGCAGTCTGTACACATGTTCTCACGCATGTCTAACCTGATTTACCTCTTACCTGTAACCTACCTTACCATGTAGCTTTAAATTGGCAGTCACTTGGCCATGTTCTAAGCAGGTCATGTATTACCTTTCAGAATTCATTTGGTAGGATAACCGAACATTAACTGAAGATGAAACCACCTTTTGCCAACCAAATTGTTTCTTTTTCTGCGTTAACTGTGCACTTCCTTATCCTTCCAGTAACATGTGCTGGGGCAGAGCACATAGCTCTGAAAGGTGATACTGTCTGTGGTGGAAATGAGCCAGCAGTGGCCTTTGCAACTGTGGGTCTTGAGCTCTGCTCTGTGCGGATTTCAGGCACAACTGTGTTAACTGTACAGAAGGCGTGTCCTTGAGAAGAAAGTGTTCACATTAAAAACGCGCTGCTACCTAGTATATTGTGTGGACTTTTCCTTTGAATTCCAAGGCTCTGTCCCTCTTTAGAATTGTTTCTGGTGGGTCTTCTCCTGCCCCCCCTTTTTGGTGGGTTTTATGATTTACTTAGCACAAAACATGCACGCAAGCTTCTACTCCTTTTCTTCTCTGTGCAGCCTGGCATTGGAATTGGTGACCCTAAAGCCCAGTTGGACTGCTCTTTCACAGTGCCTTTGCAGTACTTAAGAGGAAATACTGCAACCAAAATGGGTACAGTGAGATTTGTCACACAGCAATAGCACTTCCAGTTCTTTGACACTGTGAACTAGGAATCTGCGGAAGCCACTGGCAACATGCGCTTTTCCTCCTGCTGCTCCCGTAACCAGTATTATGCATCTGGCCCTTAAATCCTCTCTGAACCCTGCTGTTAATGCCCCTGGGTTTTTCCCAGTTATGCTTAGTTTTGACATAGTGGTCTAAATGGTGCCAGATGAACTCCTTGGTCCTCTCTCTGACAATCCTTGGCTTCACCAGGGGTCTGAGGGCAGCCATTATGCCAGCAGGAGAGAACAGCCACCTCCAGAGGCAGCACTAAAGGAGAAAGGACCTGGTGCTCTACTTTAAAATGCAGCTCAAATCTGCCACTTTATTCCTGCTCAATCATGGCGCAAAGAGTTCATGGAGATTTGGCCCTGTGAAGCTCAAAAGTGCTCTTAAAAAGAAGTGTAAGCCAGCCACTATCAAGTATAATCACAGACTTGACTGAGCTTTAGTTTTAAATATAAACATTTATTCAGTAAGTTTATCAAATGTATAAAATAAGATAAATGCATACACCAGCTTTCCATCAAAATGCCACTTTATAAATTACATAATACTTGTTTACAACGTGAGTTCACACCTTTGGCTTTGATGTTAGCTGTGGATCGAATCCTGGTGGTGTCAGAAGTTTACATGATTTCGGATAT